TATATTAAAGTTATTTCTGTCAAAGTATTATAAGACAAGTATGGTAACTCAATACAAACGTAACATCTTGGCTTGTATGTATGCGCGTCTGCCGCGCGCCATGTACGAACACACACATTCGTAAAATCTTGCAATGCATGCGCGTTGCATAGCGCTGGTCGTCACACGCGCTTTCATTATTATGCGAATATGTGAGTCCGTACAAAGTGCGCGGGCACCATACAAGCCGCGCTGTTATGTTTTATGAAATTGCCATATTTGACATATTATATATATTATGTTTCTATTCTAAGGTTGCATGGAAGAAATTGCTACTGAAAAAATTACAGCGTTTTTAAAATGGCCCATTTTTTATATTTACTTATATTACTATGCTGTGTTTCAGTAAAGAGTATTTCGTTTAATCATTTTTAACCTACTTCAAAAAAAGGAACAGGTTCTCAATTCGACTGTTTTTTTTTGCATGTATGTACGATTTTGACGATTCTTTTTGTTGAAAATGGTAATGGGTAATGGTACCTCCGTATTGGTACCGGTTAAATTGTAAAAACTAGGGGATGATTCCGGTTTCGTGCACGTTTCGGTAACCGATTTCAATAAAACTTGGCAAATAGATGTTATTCCAAGAACTTTTGAGGGCCGTTTTTTTAAATAAAAAGTTATATTATTGGCTATAGTGTTTGCCCTGTTACTATTAGCAGACGTGTACGCAGGTGTATTGGTGGTGGTGTAAGCGACTTCGTTGCTCATTAACAATGTCACTTTAGGTTAGATGTTATTTATATGTCATCGTAAACTTACTGCTGACTATCGCATGTGGTGAGCTGTGTAGCTGATATTGAGGTTCATTCCAGAAAATCCCAATGAGAAATGCCCATTGGTTGATTGGAATGATGTTCCAATTTGGATTTGTATTTGGAAGACTATTTTACCTTTTATTGATGCCGTGCATAGATGTTCACGCAAATTACTATTTCTTTATTAGTCATAAAGTTTTATGGGATACCGCACCATGGTGTTGCTTGTTTGTAAAGGTAATTATTTGTACTTCTATAGACCATTCTTTTGGCATGGTTCACTCAATGTTGCCAACTAGACTAAAGTAAGAGCTCCTTATGAAAGAGTTAGTCCAGGGAACTACTGCCACCTTAGGAACCTATTTCTGTGGTGAAGCACTAAAAAGCAATGCGAGCATTACTGCGTTCCGGTTTTAAAGGATCTGGTGCTGGTGAAACTACACTAGGCACATGGGACATGTTTCTTTACTTTGCCGTATGCACGAGGAAGGATGAAGCAAAGTGTTTCGTGCGAGTGGTTGGATATGTCATACAAATAAAATATACTCTCTGTTGTACATAATATTTAAATCTGCGAGTAACATTTAGTATAGCTTGTTTTAATAACTTTACGTTACATACATTACCTAAAGTTTGTATGCTCGCTTTCCAAAATACCCTTGGTTTTTTTTTTTCAGGGATAACAAATAATTGTACATGTTTTTTTATTATGAAAACTAACGCGGTTACCACACACTGTAGTATAAAAGTAACGGGACTTACTCGCGTAGTATTTTCGTCGGAAGCGGTCCGACTAGTTTCAATCATAACCGATGGTCTTCTTCGGTGATACAAGTGACGCGGTCGCGAACGTTGCACTCAACCCCTGAAGAAGACCATCGATTATGGTTGAAACTACTCGTACCGCTTCAGACTAAAATACTATGCGAGTAAGTCCCGTCACTTTTAAACTACAATTGTACATGTAGTTTTACATTAAGTGTTGATTAATTTTGACATAAGTACATGTACAATCAACAACATTCTCCACAAATTACTATTAAAATTAACATTGTCGTGTGTGATGCGTAAGGCAAAACTGAAACAAGTAAAAAGTAAACAAAAGATATTAGCTTTGGTAAATGAAATATTTTTTATTTATGTAAAGAACGAGGCAAATGAGCAGACGAACTACTTGATAGGAAGTGGTCATCGTCGCCCATGGACATTTGCAACATCAGATGATCTGCCTATGCGTTGCCAGTCTTTGAGAGCCCTGTAAATGCGCTTTTTGAAGAACCCCATGTCATAGAGCAAGGGAAATATTTCAGGAGGAATATAATTCCACATCTTGCAAGTTCGAGGAATAAACGAACGAAATGCCCACGCGGTCTTACAATGCCTCTAAGATGTGGGGATGGACTCTACTCCTTTGGCGGGAGGTGCAATGGTAGAAACGAGACGGTGGTACCAGTTTGCCTGCATTTGTACGGCAGCGCGCCGTTTTAAAAAGCGGTCGTCGATTAACTTTATCAGTTGTATTTAATATTTTGCAGAAGGTTGGACAGTCAATCTCATTGTGACGAAGCGTCTATTATGAAGTGTTAGCATTCCAAACTTAGTAAGTTCTCGTATGGTGTATTTTTTCTAAATATTTTGTAATTTACGGACTTAAAGAAATTGTATCGGTATAATATTATACTATAATCACAGAACAATAAATACAGGTATAACAAAGCCACATGTGATCATACATCGTAAGTTCTTTTATCACATGAAAGTCATAAAAATAGTACGGACTACATGAAACAAATATGTACCTATATTATGTGAAATATGTTCTCTCTTCATCATGAATCAACTCTTCCATTTAATTATAAATACAAAGATCGAACACTGAGAAAGATTTCTTCGATCTGGCGTCTTCAGCACACCGTGCTTCACACTCTCCCTAATAAGCTACGGAACGTACCAGCGGATCTTACGAATTTTTCTATGAGTTTGTAGCATCTTTGTTTTTGGTTTTTAATGACTTTTGCGGTAGCGTAGTATCACAGCGTAGCATGTGTGAGAAATCTATGGAAGTCTTCACTCCGCCAGGTACCTTTACATCTACATGCGGCTGACTAGAGATGTCGTTTTCATAATTCTAGGGTCTAAGTCAAAATCCAACATCATTCATTTAAGTTAATACATATACTCGCTAAACCATTTAAGTCTTCGTCGTAATTAATTTGTTACTTTATAAATTTCGAACTTTATTCTAGAGGTTATTTAACTTCCAACACTAAAAACAATACAAAAAATATATAATTATATATTAACAAATGAAGCACTTTTTTGGTATAATTATTAATACAAAGATCGAACACTCAGAAAAAAATCCTTCGAACCGGCCGGATTCGAACCGACGTCTTCTAGCTTACCATGCCAGACGATATACCAACCAACCCACGGAACGAACCAGCGGACCTCACGATTTTTTCTACGTGCTTGCGTCGTGTCTTTGTATTTGGTTTTTTTCAACGACTTTTTAGTCGTAGCGCCATCTATGAGAAATCTCTGTGTCGTCATCTATGAGAAATCGGAAATTGCTGAACACTACAGAATCATTAAATTCCTCCCCTTCTCTTGCTATTGATGTCCTAAAGGAAAATGTTAACGTTTGTGGCAGTTTATTTAATTTCCGTCATGTTAATCCACAAGACATCATAAAAGCTTTTATATCAACACATGTTAAAAAAACTGAAGATCTCTGCGGTATATCAATTAAAGTTATAGACTCAGTTATTGATCTCATTTCCCCACATTTAGCTGTACCTTTCAATTGGTGCGTTGACGAAGGAGTTTTTTCCGATTTAATGAAATACAGCAAGGTTATTCCATTATTCAAAAGCGGTAGGAAAGTTGATCCTAGCAACTATAGGCCCATTTCAATTTTACCAGCTTTAAGTAAAATTTTCGAAAAGGTTATGCTGACTCAAGTACTGTCCTATTTCGGTAGGAATCATACTTTTTATAGTCAACAATACGGGTTTACTAGTGGTAGATCGACTAGCGATGCGGGGGTAGCGTTACTAAAACACATCTTTGATGCTTGGGAAAGGTCCCAGAACGGTATTGGTGTTTTTTGGACCTCTCAAAGGCATTTGATTGCGTTGATCATATTACTCTTATTAGGAAGCTGGAACATTACGGTGTACGCTATACCACGTCTGGCACGATAAGCTAGAAGACGTCGGTTCGAATCTGACCGTATCGAAGGAATTTTTTCTGACTGTTCGATCTTTGTATTAATAAACTAGTGGAGTAATTTCACAATAAATAATTGAATATCAATCCAATAAAAAATTTAAAATACAGCGAATAGCGACATCTTTCGCTACGACTGGTAACTGTAAAGGTACTAACTGGGTGATAAATCTTTCATAGATTTCTCACAGGTGGCGCTACGACTAAAAAGTCGTTGAAAAAACCAAATACAAAGACACGACACAAGCACATAGAAAAATTCATAAGGTCCGCTGTTTCGTTCCGTGACTTAGTTGGTATAGCGTCTGGCACGATAAGCTAGAAAACGTCGGTTCGAATCCGGCCTTATCGAAGGAATTTTTTCTGAGTGTTCGATCTTTGTATTAATAATTATAACAAACTAGTGGAGTAATTTCACAATAAATAATAGAATATCAATTCAATAAAAAAAATTTAAACACTTTTTTGACTTATGTTTATACTGTATGTTCGCCGACTCTAGAATTGTAATATTAAGTTTTTTTTTTGAAATTACTCCACTAGTTTAGAAATTACTCTTCTATTTAAGCATAAAAAAGTTATCGACGAGTTTTTTTTCTAGAATCTTTAAATATCTCTCCCGAAAAGTCGTCATTTCGCAGAAGAGGCATTCATTACACCCAAGGTTAGATTTATTAATTCTCCAAGGTATAGTTACACAAGCAACATACGAGTAAGCAAGTTACTGAAGAAGGAAAACTGAACGAACTATACGGTTACTATGTAGTTATCTACTAGTTAATTTATTGTAAGTAGTAATTACTTTAAGAAATAATTGTACCTACAGTTGCAAATTTTATTAACGTTAGTGTGTTTAAAATTTCTTTTGTTCGTAAAACTTGTTACCTGAATAAACAACATGCACGCTTTGTTGGTGTATATAATTGATAAATGCGTGTTTAATGTTCCATATTTCTTAGTACAGTTGAAAAGATGTGGATGGTAATTGTTTTAATAAGTGTAGCTGAAGCTATTCGTCTAGCGGAGAATGAAAAATATTCATACCTTTCTTGTGAGTGTACATTTTTTTTCTATATCTTGAAAATAGAAAACGTTTACAACATATTAAGAAAAGTCGGACTTGTAATGTTCTTTTTAAATAAATAAATTAGTGTATCTATAGATACATAACTACATATAGAACTATATATTTTCTCTCATAGCCCCAGCGTCATCAAAATCTGTCGATTGTGGGCTCAACGCCTACTGGGACGATTGTCCCCCAGATTATCCACCGCATCAGAACTGCTCTCTACTCTGGTCTGAGTTTGAATGTGAACCTGACGAGAATTACTGCTGCAGACCTGCTTGTCGATGCGAAGATGGATTTTACAGAGACGAATATTTCAAATGTGTTTCTTCAGAGCATTGTAGTGAGTATTTAATTGTCTGAACGTGTTGTTACGTGTACACTCAGGTGTTATCTAAGTAATGGTATCATAAAAAAATAGGTCTGTTTTGTGTTGCATTCACTTTTTCTTATCTGAGTCAAAACACGAGCACATTCCCATTTTAATAGTACAGCAGATGTAAAGGCGTGGTGGCCTAATGGTTTGACTTACCGCCTTTCAAGCGGAGGCTCTGGGTTCGAATCAGGTCTCGCATCTCTGAGTTTTTGGAATTTATGTGCGTAATTTAATTTGAAGCTTACCATGAGTTTTTCGGTGAAGAAAAACATCGCGCTGAAACCTGCACATGGAATATGTTTAAGCTTCAGAAAATATGTGAAGTCCCCAACCCGTAATGAGCCAGCGTGACGGACTATAGCCTAAACCCCTGCCTAAGAGGAGACCCGTGCCCATCTGGGACTTATGAATAGATTGACGATTTGATGATCGCCAAGCATTAATATGAACGTTAATGTGTTTCGATTTTGAAGGGTTAGAGTGCTGGTGAAAGTACACGTGGCGTTTGTTAATTTAATGTCATCATCATCAACGTCATCAATCAGCCGGAAGACGTCCACTGCTGAACATAGGACCCCTCCCAAAAGACTTACAGACTAGCCGGTCGGACGCGATGTGCATCTATCGGCTGCCCGCCGCCCTTATCAGGTTATCTGTTCATATAGTTGTGGGCCGTCCCATTGAACACCTTTCGGTTCGGGGTCTCCATTCGAGAACCTTTCTACCCCAATGGCCGGCAGTTCTACGAACCTGCCCACTTGCTAATTCTTTGAGCTCTGTCGGTGACTTTCGTCCTTCTACGGATCTCATTTCAGATTCGATCACGTAGAGAAATGCCGAGCATAACTTGCTCCGTAGCGCGTTGAGTGACATTGAGCTTTTTATGAGCCCCATAGTAAGTGACCACGTCTCAGAACCGTAAACCATCGCTGGCAACACGCACGCGAAGACTTTTGTCTTCAAAAGTTTTAAGTGTCAAGTGTTCAACGGCCTCCGTGGTTGAGTGGCTTGTACCCCGGTTTTCATGGAGTCGCCATCTCTGATGTACCGGGTTCGATCCCCGGCCGGGTCGGTGCAGAAAACTAACTTTCCATATTATCTCGGGTCTGGGTGTTTGTGGTACCGTTGTTGATTCCGATTTCTATGACACAAGTGCTTTTGCTACTTACTTTAGGATCAGAGCAACGTATGTGACGTTGTCTAATAAGTATAATTTAATTGCAACTGTTATAGTTAGGCGAGTTGCTTATCATCAGACGTTCGACGACGATGACTGCCGTATATATTCAAATAGAAGAAAAACTGAACCAGGAAACTTCTCTAGGTGCTTGTTGCTGATCTTTGGTTTTCATTCAAATGGTTTTTTTTATTGTAGAATCCATCTGTGAGAAACCATCTTTGAGAAAATGTTTTTTCTTCACTCAGCCAGGTACAGTTACAGCTATCAATGGCTGACAAGAGGTGTTGCTTTATTAATTGCAATATTTGTCTGGCAAACAGGTGTAGTTCTAATCCAGCCGGATCAAAGGAAATTTACTTTGTGGTTCTTCGTTTTGTATCAATAATAAAACCAACTAGAGGCTACATTCACAAAACAATATGAATATTAGGGTAATACAAAACAATTATATTAAATAAATGTTGCAATTAATATAGCGATACCTCTTGTCGGCCACTAGTAGCCGTAAAGGTATCTTGCTGGGTGAAGAAAAAATATTCATAGGTTTCTCACACAAGACGCTACAGCAAAAAAGCCATTTAAATTCAAAACAAGAATCGTTAACAGGAAACGAGACGTTCGTGTGTAATAAACATACAACACCAATCAAGAAAGTACAGTTAACATGACGTAATTGTCCTAGCATGTTTCAAAATGTCATATATATCAACAGTACGACATTAAACCAAGATTAGGGAGAACACGACAATTAACTCAAAACGGAGAAAAATTGTTCGTTGTTATCTTGTGCTTCATGTAATTCAAGGTTAAAGTCAATGAGCAAGAATTGGCAAATAATAAAACATCTGTTTTAAATAAACCATTGAGCTAATAAAAATATGTATGCATATCATATACTTTATGAATTTACGTAAACCTCCTCACGTATTAATAATTTGCATTGATGTTAAACGTGTGATTCGACTCTGGGAATATAGCGTTATCACTGTGATAATTTAGTAGAGTTGTCATAATATTATTTATAATACCGTCAACCGTAACAACGATTAATATAATCGCTAAAATGACGAAATTATGTCGTTATATACAGTTAAATTTTGCTATTTAAAGCTCTGAGCGGCAATGCAACTGTTATGGACAGGCGTGTAGCTTACCATAAGGCGCACGACTTGTCCGTCCTGTCACTCGATATTATAAAAAAAATCCGCTCTATCGATCTATATCTATAAGTACTCCTCTACAAGTTTTGATTTTCATTAATAACCTTCTTCATCAAATTAAAAGCGAATGTCTGGCTTATGCTGTTGACGGCGTTGAATTTTCAGACATATCAGTGATATAGAGAACTGTCGACTTCTCCTAGGTGATATAAACAAAATTGTAGATTGGTGCCACCTGAAGACTTAATTCGAAGAAATGTCAAATTATTTCTTTTAAAGAGAAAACATGGTCAATTTTATTTGATTATAAAGGAACTAAAAGGATTAATTACAGAAGGTGTCGCAAAAGTTAGGGATCTCGAAGTCATGTTTTTCTGATTGCCTGAAGAGTAATCCAAAGCAATTGATAGTTTTACATACACCTCTCCTACACCTCTCTGATTAAGAGCGTTCTTGAATACTGCTCACTAGTTCGGAACCCAATATATGATGTGCATAGAATTCGTATTGAGGCAATTCAACGCCGTTTTCTGAGTCTTAAGTGGCAGGTGTGGTTTGAGGCGTCGATTGCCGGAATACAATGACAGACTGAGAAGTTTTTATTTAACTTTTGACAGCTCGAATTCTAATCAATTAGTGATGTCTTAATGCGTTTCAGATTCGATTTTTTATAACAATCGATTTAATTTGTGAAGTCTTAATCGTGAATGTGAGCCGGTTCAAAAAACATGATTATTTATTGTATGTTTGGGATTGTGATGGTGCATTGCACAATTTGTGTACTCAAGAAAATAATTAATGTTAATGAGGATTCAAGTGGTGATTCCCGTTCACATGGAGAAAAATCCGACGATTCATCGTAATAAACAATAAGAATTTATTAGAATTATTTATAATTTATTTAATTACTTTATAATTTATTAGACAAGTACCAAAATTTATCAACTTAAAAAACCTTCGTTACATAATCCGTTAACTCGATAAATATCGGAGCTAAAGAGCACGTCGGTTCATTAAAATTAAAAAATAAAAAAGTCTAGGAAGTATTGCATTTTTTTTGTCTATGTATGTCAATAATTACGGAACTTCAGAGATATGCATATGTTAAAAGTTGAATAAATGGTTGGACGGAGTATAAGCCTAGAAAGGAGGATGTGGTTGTCTAATATGCGCTGTTTCCATAACATAGCAGGTGGCTTCTTCACTTACCTCATCGAACAAATTTATGTCAAAGTCCCCTGTAGGTCCATGCATATACGTATCACTACTCTTTGTGCTGTCACCCACTACTAATAATGTTATAAAAAAATAACCGACTTTGAAGACTGCGTCGTTATTATAATGAAATCTGTGATGATGAAGATCCTAGTGAACTAGTAGTTCACATTATTTTTTAATACTAAAATTTGTCTTTATTGTTAAATCCCCTTTAGATTGTTTATATTTATTTAGTTTTTTTAAAAATCTACATTTCCGCTCTTTGTAATAGTGAGGTACCTATTTTGTTATGGAATGCTGTGTATACATAGTTGTAATTGAGTGTCAGTTCTATAGTGCGATTTAAGAATGTTTTTGTATTATGTTGTATCTGATGTCTGTAATTGTACCAATAAAATAAAAATTAAAACCTACGTGGACAAACCATGTATGTGTACAAACTAAACCATAATATAACAGGGTAGGCAGTCTGTATATACACAGATATCCTCAACATTATTGTCCAGCCACCGTCATAATAATATAAGAATAGCCTTTAAGCTGCCTTCAGTTTTGCTCGATTTTGTCGATCAACACTACCACTTGTTAGCGATCGATAAATGTCAGTGTCAAAATCGAACAAATTTATCGGCACTTGTCATTTGTCACCATTTCGCAGTATCAAACGCTAAATGAAAAATACGTTGTCGAAAAAACACGATTTCGATCGTCTGTTTCTTACACATTCACTCGTTTTGTTCGATCACACGTGTTGACCAACAAAAAATCGAACAAATCTGTAGGCGCCTTTAATTAGGTGTGCGCATGTACCATCGTCGACCTCATTGCCACATTCCATCAGGTGAGATGGAGGTCAGATACGCATTTATTTAACACTAATAAAAAGTATAATTTTAATAATTATACATTATTTCTTTCAGTCGCACGTTATTATATTGACCAGTACGCTGTCACAGAAGTTGTTGAAGAGGTTGAAGGTACGTGTGCTCCAAACAAATATAAAGATTTATATCTAAATTTAATCATATTCTGCCTATAAATTTTGATACTTGAATTGAAATATTTATTTTATTGAATATCATGATGTTTTTACTACCATGATATTAATATTTTTTTGTGCAAATACTCCACTGGTTCGTTATTATTATTATTGGTATAAAGACCGAACAAACACAAAGAAACTTCCTTCGGGTCGACCGGTCTCGATTCAGTGTCTGTCGCCTCGCCGTGGCCACTGCTCTTCGGTGAAGCAACTGGGGCTGGTTCGAGTTTAGTCGTATATAGAAGAAATTTTTGACAATAATACAATATTTCCTTTTGTATCCATGAGAAAAATTTACATTTGAATTTATTTAACCTTTCTTTAACAACTTGTGTGAATTGAACTTTCTTTTAGAGCCAAACAAATGTCCAGCCAATGAGACAATGGCGTGGTGTGTAGTCGACTGTGCGTACAAATATTGCCCCACTAATGATAGTCGAGCAGTATCTCGCTGTCAATCACCGAGGGGAAACTGCCCACAGGGATGTGTGTGTCAGTGGAATTATAAGAGGTTGAGTGTTACAGACCGGAGATGTATTTTGGCTTCTGATTGTCGTAAGTTTTAGAATATTTTTAAAATATATTTTCATCCTTACAAATATAGTTTACTGCCTTCTCGAAAGTATATCAGCTGCCAGACTAAAACTGCCGCAGTCTTCATTCTCTACAAATAGGCTAGACCATTAAACTATATGCATGCGATACACTTCTAGAAGGCCCGGAACACTCCATCCTTATGTAGTTGATATACCACCCATTCGCACTAAGCGCTTTGCTTCCTCCTTTCTGATGCGTACGGCAAAGGAATGGAATAATCTACATTCTACTAATCTACATCTGTTTCCCGAAAAGTACAATTTGGGGCTGTTCAAGGCTAGAGTGAATAGGCATTTTTTAAGTAAACGCGTACCATCGTCCATCACATCGTCGCTTAACATCAGGTGAGATTGTGGCCAAGCGTGTGCCTATTATTTATGGAAAAAAAAGAATAAACTAGAAATTTGCGCAACATATACAAAAGATTTAGCAATTCTATTAATTTCCTCAGCCCCAGTGAAATGCACCAGGCCGAACGAAGTGTGGAACCCTTGCCCCTCTCCATGTTACAGAGAAAATTGTAGAAACAGGCGTACAGAACCAAAGATATGTACTTATAAAGGACTAAACACTTGTGAGCCAAGATGCACCTGTATCCAAGGATATTATCGAGATCAATTCGATGATTGCATCCCGGCTGCCGATTGTGGTAAGTGTCATCCAAAACTTTGAATGTGGGCTTAAAATCTCGTTTTTCCGGAGTTTCCGAGATCGTACCGAGTCTCGATTTTTTGCCGATATGCAGCGTTACTGAAAGCATAGATTACTAATAGTTACTACGTAACTGAAAGCGCTATTATACATATCGATATTTCAGGGAAGAGAAGGGGTAAAAACGAATGCGTTTGCGCCTTTTCTTCCCTATTTCGATATTTCTGGTGTTTCTCCATTAGTTGCTTTTGAATCTATTATACATATAATGCATTATAATATATCTTGTTGTTGTTTCAGATAAAACTACATTTACGAGCGATTTACGTGCCGAGTAGAAACACGCAAAAAAATTAATATAAATTTTTATAAAACTTTCGTGTTTATTCACAAAATGGTTATCACTCATTACAGTAGGTGCGCGGAATCCGGTGTTTAGTGCTTATAATAATAAAAACAAAAATGCTTCGACTTCAGTTTCGCGAGTGGATACAGTGAGTGTGGTTTGTCGAAAAAAAGTAAGTGACACTGGTAACGCCACAAGTAATCAAGGTGAAGGTAGTCGTCGACAGCGAAACAGAGTAGACAGATATGTCTGCTCTTAGACCTGTCTTCTGCCGCTGTCAAGTCAACCAATAATACAATACAAACGACGCAGCGCGGTTTGTATCTGAGAGCGCCCGCCGCGTGACGCGTACGGATGTGTGCATAGTTAGATAATGCAAATGTGTGCATTTGCATAATCTAAGGATGTTCACTGTACTGGTTGTCTCAACTTTTCATTATTAAGCGAATGTGTGCGTCCGTACAGAGCACGCGGCGGTTGTACACATACAATTTACGCTTATCCTACAATATCGGGAAAATAAAAAGAACTCATACCGTGGTAAGAAACCTGTAATTAGTGATAATCATTTAAAATGTATTAACTCCATATAACAATAATTAATGATTTTTCAATTACCATGTATTTTCTGAAATCAAGCGGGATTTCCTAAACATGTTTCCATCCAACAACTCGATTTTAGCATAACAAAGCTATTTCCTTTTTTTTTAATACCGTTTTAGCAGCAATTCCTTGCTTATTACAAAAATTTGTTTTAATAAAATTGTTCCCTAGAACCGTAATATCGCCGTCATTCATGCAAATAATTGCGTTTTCAGTGACGATAAACTGATTTACTTTCCGATTTTTTATTGTTTTAATTTTCATAAACGAATATTTGATGTTTTACGCGAACTTTTTTGGTTTACTATACGCATACTATTAATCTAAGTACGTTCATTTGAATGTATAGTAAATTATTTAGTACAATAAGTGGAATTGTGGCCAGAATTAACAATACAATAATAGCATTATTAAGATTGTGTTTTATTGTGACATCATGTATTTTATGACACATCGAGTTTTTAGTTTCTCGCGAAACTATTTTTTCTTCTATTTTTTAACCGCTCACTGCCATGCCGTGAACACATTACTCGATTTAGATACGAAAAAAATAGTTTAATTTCCTAAATTTTATGAGATTTTCAGGGTTACTACAAATTTATGAACGCCTCATTTGTTTTTATCTATTAAAGAGTTTCGTTTGCAGATATTAATATAAATACATGATTAAATATTAGTGTAAAAGCATTCCCTTCTTTATGCTGCGCAGTATTTGGGTAAAAAAATAAAAATTAGGTACGTCTTGTCTGTAGATACAACAAAACATTCGTGTTTTCATGCAGAGTTATTTCATTTCTTAATCTTTTATTTAATTATTTATTTTAATTTTATGCTCAAATTCTTTTTTAAAGTCTCGTCCGTAAATTGACAATCCTTCGATAGTTTTTTCATTCATTTTTCAATTCACCATATTTTTTTGTGATGGTTTTACGGGTTCGTATGCCTCAGTGCCTATAACTATAATTAATGTAGGCACCTACATTGTATCCTTGATGTCGTTAACTAAAAAGTATTGTTCCAGACGGTCAATATACAAATTCCAATTGTCTTTCGTGACATCAAACGCCTCGATCTTTCCCTGTGATACTTTGTACTTACTAGTATAGTTCTGTTCAGATGAACAGACCTTTACTTTGCGTGTGTACTAAATCCTCCATCGGCAGGCTCTGAAATAAGACAACAACAACTTGGAACCTGTGTGTAAGCAATTACCGTGTTATGAACAAAATAATAAATATATTAATGATAAAGAATAATGACAAAGTTCTATATTATTCTAATGTTTTTTTCTTCTTATTTTCGTTCTAATTAAGTAATTTGTATGCGTCTGTTTACGAAAAATATGTGAAAATATAGAGTTTAACTTCCTGAACAGATTTTGATTTTGGGTTTACTATTCTGGGTAGCTCGAAATTAAAGATCTCAGGTTCAATCTGGTTCGATTCCTGGGCCAGGAGAAATATTTGTATGGCCTACATTTATTTCTCTCGTGAGTTTGGGTGTAATTTGTGGTTGTCTATGTGTGTGTCCATGGCACCCGCGACACAGGGTTTCCCTAGTGCGGGGTCACAGACATATATCTAGATAGACGCCGCAAGTACTGCAATTTGTATGAAACCCAAGCGTGCTACATTTTTTGTACCCACTACGACGTCACAAGAACTATTTAGTGATGGAACCTCCTTCCGATCGGTCTAAATCGATTGATTGAACGGAATACGCATAAACACGCGTGTTTTATTCAATTGATCGATTCTAAATAGAATAATTTATGTTCAAGCGTTTGTTAATTACAAGTAGTCGTACTATTAATATAGTAGAAAAATACTAGAATAAGATAGTTAAGTCCTTTATTTTACTTGACTTTTATATCTTTTAAAGGCAAAAACGCAAACATAAGAAGCACAAAAAGCCACTAACACCGACATCTTTTTGGCTATACTAAAACATATCGAACGTCAACGACTTTTATATCTTTCAAAGGTAAAAACGCAAACATAAGAGGCATAAAAACAAGTTTGTGAAGACCACAAGCCTTTTGGAAAAACAAACAGTCTATAGACATAACATCATGCATTTGCAACTGTACAAACTTTATTCATTGTTTACTAAAATACAATAATATAATGATTAACGTATTCAGTTTCATTTATTCAAAGATTATTTAGTGTACTGTTTTATGCACGTCTTACCTGAGAGAGATAAATACAGCTAATCAAGTTTTTAATTAACAAAGCAAGTATTTCGCTGTTTCCGAGAACAACGGACTATTATTATACGCGCTAAAGTGTTTGTACATAATACTTCGTCGCCTTACTTTACTTTAAAGCACAAAGTTACAAAATGCAAAAAATGGAGTTGTGTTTCATATTTGCTTAATATTCACACACTGGCTTATACCTATTCTTAAAGTAATACGTCCAAATTAACCCTTTTGATAAGAAATTGAAAATAAATAGAGAGTTTTGCCATTTTCTGAATACTCACTCTTTATAAGATACGAGTTTGCGAAAATAAGGCGTCGATTTGATAATAAATATCAAATTACGTGGTGTATTCAGAATGATATAATTCTATTATTATTGATAATCAGCCTTCTATTCTGTGAAACTACAGTGCCTAGAAGTTTACATTTCTTGTTTGACGGCTCTCTTGCAGAATCCAAGTTTTTAGAGCAGTAGAACTTTCCTTGTGAAATAAAGATTTAGTAGCAGTAGAACAAATTTAATAAAGCAATGTAATACATAATATAGTGCCGTTTTGACTGTTATCGGGGTTGATGATTATGAATATCATAATTAAATCCTTGATAGACTTGATACAATACTTAAACGTAGTAACTAATTAAATGCTTATTGTTATTTTCAGATGCAAGCTTTGGATTGAAGCATGTGGAAGACCCATCAATTGGAAAAAGTATTTTCATAAAATATTTGTTATAAAAATATTATTTTTATTATATTCCTGCACATAGTTACTATAAAACGATTTGTGAGAAAGCCCCACATCAACATCTTTTTCTTATTCCCAATGCGGGCATAGTAGTAGGATACCCAACCCAACAGACTAAATAAAAAAAAACACACGGTGATAACCCTGCGGTTTATCGTAATATTAAGACGAAAGCGGCATTCCGCGAGTCTTCAAAGGCGATCCCACTGTATGTTCTTTATACTGTGATACCACTATATAAAATAATTTCCTCTGAACTTTCGTCACGTCACAAATCCACTGCACCATTCAGCTTCTATTAACTTTGTTAATATAATGAGCAAATTTAAAATTTAGTGATGTATAGTTTAGGTAACACTGTCCTCGATTCTGATAGATTTTGATAACAAAGGGACGAAAATTATTATGACATTAGCAATATTATAAAAATATTCTATATTTTTTTTGTTGTAACGTTTAGTAACGTTTCGTTTTTTTTTTCAGTTTTGTCAAGTCTATCAAGGCTTATCAAAGTTTAACATGGCACAATTAATTATGATATTCATGACCATCAACCCCGATAACATTAAAAATGTCACTATATTATGTATTTATATTGCTTTATTTCAATCTGTTCTATTGCTACTAAATCTTTATTTCCTAAGGAAAGCTATACTGCTCTAAAAATTTGGATTCTGCAAGAGAGCCGTCAAACAAAAAATTTAAACTTCTAGGCATTGTAGATTCACAGAACAGAAGGCTGATTATCAATAATAATAGAATTATTTCATTCTGAACACACCACGTAATTTGATATTTATTACCAAATCGACGCCTTACTTTCTCAGACTCGTATCTTATAAAGAGTGATTATTCAGGAGACGGCAAAATTTTCTATTTATTTTAAATTTTTATCAAAGGGGATAATTTGGATGCATTACTTTAAGAATAGGCAAAAGTCAGTGTGTGAATATGAAGAAAATATGAACATGTGAAATCAGTCCGCAAAATGTGTGTATTATACAATACACAAATCCATTTTTTGCATTTTGTAACTTGGTGCTCTAAGATAATTGTATGTTTAAGATACAAGTTTGAGAAAGTAAGGCGAAATATTATGTACAAACACTATAGCGCGTATAATAATAGTCCGTTGTTCTTGGAAACAGCGAAACACTTTGTTAATTAAAAACTTGATTAGCTGTATTTATCTCTCTCAGGTAAGATGTGCATAAAACAGTAGAATAAACAATCTTTGAATAAATGAAACTGAATTCGTTAATCATCATATGGGCATTTCTCCTAGATGGGCTAAATTCTCTGACTTCAGTGGTCGATTTTTTTTCTTAATTTCAGGAAAAATATTGAGCGGAAAGGAAAAAGAACTCAAACTTACATAAGATTCCGTTAATTTGGCAACTAGATTCTTAATACTTAATGACATATTTGATCCACCGAATTCAGCTACCACCGAAATCAGGGTTTCTTGACAAAAGGCGCAATTTTGTATAAAATATTATAAAAGGCAATAAAACCATTCAATAATCTACATAAACATTTAATGACTAACTATTAAACCAGCCTTTAAAAACTAAAATTTATTTATAAGTCGACAAGAATAACGCCAACAAATTTCATCTTATGACTATTTATTAAAATCAGTTTACAGTTTGGCTGTTCAGCCTTTTTTCAATCATACTAAGTATTTCCGTACCTCTTTTAAAAAAAATATTTAGAATTTAATCTATAACTACAAAAGCAATCATTTTTTGGAAACTTTCGCGATTAATATCTTTCTTTCCTTTTTATACATGACGAGGTAATTTATGCAGCTTTAAAATCTTTTCTTCCGCTTTTTCTTCACATATATACCTCTGTCTATCTTTTTCTTTAAACCTTTCATATGTAATCGGATCGCTTTGTATTTTTGCTTTTAGCACGTTTCTTCATCTTCTTGATTTCCAATTTTTGGTTTCTGTTTTGATATTCCTTATTCATTTCCAGTGGGAAGCAAGTAGTAATATAAAATTGTGAAAATCAACAGTATTAACTAAACGTTTATATGAAAAAACCAATATAATTATTGCTTTTCAAAAAAAAAGGCTTTGGCAGATTTTTCTGACTTCGGTGAAAGCATTTCTGAATTCCACCGAATTCAAAAATGCTTCCACCGAAGTCAATCTTCCACCGAATCCAAGGCCACGGGATTCCGAAAATATACATATTTTTGATATTACTCGTAAACGACAATACTTGCAAAACCAATAAATTGTTATTATATATAGTCGTTACAACACGTAGTATAAAAAATATCGTACAATCATAAAATTTAGTTTTTGAAATATCGTATACACCGAATTCAAAAATCAACCTGGACCAAATCCACCGAATTACGTATCACGCAAAAACTTCTAAAATCGGCAACAAATCGTCCACCTGTTCTTTCTAGCCGCAGGGGCGTGGTGAACGAACAACACGAACATATTCCGAAGCTTCTAAAATGCTTCACTTCTTCTGTGTAGCGTGATAAGTAACTACCACCGAATTCCCTCGTAAGCCTGGGACACGCAGCAATCTTTGTATTGTGATAAAAACACTGAGTTTATTGTGAAATTCAGATTAGAAGTACTATCATCTAATATATTACACGTGAACTAAAATCTAATATTGATATACGGTTTCAATTTTGAGAAAAATGACACTATGTGTGGGATTCAGCATTCGGGACACTCGGGGTTCTGCATTCGGAGTTGTCAGGTTTTAGACTTTTCGGATGTTTTTTCCATTAGGTCCGAAAGGTTTATTGGGAAAAATTTGTGCTCTCCAGTTAGCTTTCGACCTGTATTGTACTCTCTTTTTTTTTTGTAGATTTTTGTTTTGATAAATAAATGGAGTTTAGTGCATGGACACTGAAAATTGCGGCTTTAGAGAAATATATTATTATATTTTACTAAATAATAAATAAAGTTTGTACAGTTGCAAATGCATGATGTTATTATGTCTATAGACTTTTGGTTTTTCCAAAAGGCTTGTGGACTTCACAAACTTGTTTTTATGCTTCTTATGTTTGCGTTTTTACCTTTGAAAGATATAAAAGTCGTTGACGTTCGATATGTTTTAGTATAGCCAAAAAGATGTGGGTGTTAGTGGCTTTAATAACTGCGGCGGGAGCTACCAGTCCAATAAGGGACAAAAGATGTCCAGTGTATTCACGTGAGTTATTGTCGTTTCACATCTTATATTACTTACGTTTTATATTTGTCTTACAAAAGTCATCACTTATGTATAAAACACATCTACATCTTACCTGATAGTAGCAGTACAGATCCTTGTGACAGAGTCCGTCTGGGGAACCACTGCCACCTCACGTATTTCTGCCGCCAAGCAGTAATGCTCACATTACTGCGTTCCGGTTTGGAAGCGTAAGGGTGCTAGTGAAATTACATGCACTTGGGACTTTCCAACTTATGTCTCAGGGTCACGGGCGCAGTGGTAGTGCTCCTGAGATCTGCTTACTGTCTGTGTGTAGGTTATTTATTACTTGTGTTATTTGTTTTTTATTGTGGCGTTGTTTTGAAAACTGTGAGTCTCTATTACAATGTATTTCAGTCGCGAAATTTTTCGGTCCATTATTTTCTACGATTTTTGATGTGACTTAAGTCAACAAGAGAATTGTCAGAGACTTCGTTGGTATTTGGTAATGAAGCCAACTACGATGTAGCTACGATATAGAGCTCTGTTTACTCGTGATTCAGTGAATTAGATGCGAATGTGATTAACTCTATGACGATGTACGTGGAGGTCGGCGTGCGACTGCGGTTACCGAATTTAATTTTGATACCGTACGAACCGTACGACAAGTGATTGAAACTGACAAAAAATTACTTGTCAGTAAATTCGTACTGTGTTAGACAATGAAACGAGACAGGTGAAAAAGATATTGCATGTGCATCTGAAGGTTTGGAAACTTTATACGCGATGGATACCGCATGATTTAACTGAGTACCAGAAACGACTGCGCTGTGTAGAGTGGTGCCGTAAAATGATAAATAAGTTTAATGGAGTACAATTATTGGCCGTATATAATATCGTAACAGCTGACGAAACCTGAGTGTACTGCTTTGAACCGGAAAGAAAACCTTTTGAAGATTTGCCGACGAAAGTTAACAAAAGTCAGAGCACTAGTTGCTTCTTTCTTCGGCAAATCAGGACATTACACTACTGTAGTGCTTGAAGACCAAATGATAGTGACTGCAGATTGGTAAGTAAACACCTGCTTGCCCAGACTATTAGAAAAAGTTTGCGAAAAGCGTCCTCGAAGCAATATCGTCCTTCACCACGACAACGCCTCTGCACATTTCGCTAAGGTAATGAATGCGTATTTGAAGGCCTCAAATGTGGAGCCGATGACCCATTCGCCATTTGTCATAATTCTTTTTATTTCGAAAAATTTGAAGATAAACTTGGAGGTTTACGATTTACAAGCCCGGAAGCGGCGGTGAATGCATTCCACGAAGCCATTTTAAATAGTCCATACGGAAGAGTGGTCGCACTACTTTTCACTATGGTTCCAATGAATGCAAAAGTATGTGAATAGTGAGGGCATATACTTTGAAAAACAATAAATCTGTATAGATCAATAGTAAATCTATCAAAATAATAAATCTATTATAAACATAACATCTGGTCTTTCTTATCAGAATCCAGAGATTTTCAGTATGGCCTAAGTAGTGATCGAACAACAGAACGAAAAATTTTTTCGCTCTGACTGGACTCGAACCAGTGTCTGTTGTCATGCCGGGGCCACCACCCTTAACTAACTGAGCTGTAAAATGAGTCAGCAGATCTAGGAGCGCGTACAAATCTGGCGAATACGCTGCACGCGTTATGTGCGCCTCTGTAATGACATCTCCTAACGGTTGGTCACACAACGTAATGCACGTGTGCAGCTCGCGAGCCTTTCGCAAACATCTCTCTTCGCAAAAATCTGCTTTACGAATGAGCGGTAGAGTTTAACCATTGTGACGATTTCAAGTGTGATAATGCTTACCTATGAAATAAAGATTATTTTGAATTTGAATTTGAATTTGAACAGGCGCATTCGCCAGATTTGTAACCACCCTAATGATTTTGTCTGTGTTTGGTGCAGATCTTTGCATTGGGCTTAAACAGCTTTTTTGTCGTAAGGCACCTGTGAGAAACTCTCCACTCAGTCATATCTTAGTGTATTAGAATCAATAAAAAAAAAGTTTTTTCCCTTGTAATCGCAGCGCCATACAAACCTGTTAATTGCGGGCCCAACGCCTATTGGGAGAGGTGTTCCCCACAGTGTCCACCGCATGAGAACTGCTCTCTGCTTTGGTCTAAGTTTAAATGCGTTCCTGACAAAGACTACTGCTGCAAGCCCGCATGTCGATGCAAAGACGGATTTTACAGAGATAAAAATTTCAAATGCGTTTCTTCAGAGGAATGTAGTAAGTAGTCGTTTAAACTTATTTTTGTATAAATGGGTTGTTTCCGCAGCAAAGTATAGTTATGTGTAGTTAAGTTTGTTTAAGAAAGCCGTGGTAGCCTAATGGTTTGAACTACCACATCTCAAGCAGAGAACGTGGGTTTGAATCCGGCCTCGTACCTTGAGTTTCTCGGAATTTTTGTGCGAAATTTAATTTCAAATTTACCGTGAGCTTTTCGATGATGGAAAACATCGTGATGAAACCTGCACGTCGAAGAAAATTCACAGTCCTCGGAAAACGTGTGAAGTCATCTACCCGCATTGGCCCAGCTTGGCGGACTATGCCCTCTAACCTACGCCTGAGAGGCGATCCGTGCCCACCCGCGGGACTTATAAATGAGTTGATGGTGACTTTTTACTTACTTTATAAAGAAAAATAATGAAGATCAGGGAACGTGATTTTTATGAGTGCTCACTTCTTCAAATGTCTAGATATCTGCTGTTACAGATCTGGCGAATGCGCTGCACGTACGTTGCACGCTTTAAGTGCGCCTTTGTAATAACATTACATAATGAACTGGTCGCACAACGTAATGCACGTGTGCAGCTCGCGAGCCCTTCGCAAAATGGCGCATTCGCCAGATTTGTAACCACCCTAATGAATTTCTCTGTGTTTGGTGCAGATCTTTGCATTGGGTTTAAACGGTTTTTTGCCGTAAGACACCTGTGAGAAACATATGAAGTTTTTTGATTCAGTCATATCTTAGTGTGTCAGAACTTGCGTTTTAATTACTTAGTTACTTATATTTTAATTTTGCTATTAAATTTTTACAGCTGGTCGAGTAGTACCGATAGACCCAGAACTTCCAATCAATCCTAAACCAGGTTAGCATGATTGTTAAGTAATTAATTATGCAGTAT